TTGCAACCCAAATTCATCTTTTGCCAGCCAATTCACCATTTCCAAAACAAATTCACCTTTTACAGTTAAAATTCACCTTTTCCAAACCAAGTACACCTTTTGCAGAGGAAATTCCCCTTTTGCAAGCAAAGCTAATTCACCTTTTTGCAAAGCCAATCCTCCATGTCCACAGCAAATTCACCCTTTCCACTTCTGACCCTGACCCCAACCCCAACCCTGACCATGAACCCTCACCCTAAAACCCTAACACCAAACCCAGCCCTAGCCCCAGCCCTAGCTTTGAACTCTAACCCTTGACCAAGCTCAAATTTATATTTTTAAAAGTGAATAGAACCCGTAGCTGGTGTTGTTCACTGGTTAGAGCACTTGCTTGACAAGCATACACTCACCACTCTAGTTAAAAACGGCACCAATGAACATATGAGGCAGGGTGGGTGGGTCACATAAGGGGAACCTCAGTGCAGCAGTCTACAGGGGCCTCCCTTTGCAGAGCTGGGGCGGGGAGAGGTGAAGAACACAGGGCCGTGACTACAGAATGATTGCCTCCCTGGGCCGCTTCGATGATTTGGTGGGTGTGTGTTTTTTCTGAGTAGAATTTTTGGTCGTGTTCACAGGGCTTTGCCTGGAGTTGCAGCACCATGGACAGAGTCACAAATTGTTATTCCTTGGATGGCCACAGGAGGGCACCAGAGGATTATTTTTACGCAGGAATTGGCTGGCAGCGTCCTTTAAGGGCTAGCTGCTAGCATAATAAATATCTAGATTCCATAGACGTGCACAGTATAATCAGTAACTTACTTGAAGGAAAAATATAAGCGTTTATACTATAAAACCAGAGTATAAGTGTGCTCTATGAATACATTCTGATAAATCACAAAATCAGAGATGCTTGGTCTTAGCACATTTCTACAGGATTATTTTATCTTTCATCCTGAAAGAGACAGGCATAGGTATTGAACAGAACCCCTTGAGTTACAAGAACACGGTTCAAAACCACTGTGGTTCACCCCCTGGCAATGGGCAAGGAGACACCTGATTGGTGGTGTTGCTCTTATATCAGTCAGGGGCAAAGCAGAATGTACAGTCCTTAGTTCATCCTAGCTTGATGCCTGTGTGGGTAGCCAGAGCTGTTTCATGCCCGAGGCACATGAAAAAACCCCAGTGTTTCAAAATAAAAGTATTAACTAGAATCTTTTATTCAGAAAAAAATGTGTTTGCAACTACTTTACTAAGAGAAAAAAGCGCTCAGTCTTAATAACCTAATGTCACCGCAGTAACTTGAAAAAATATGAACCAATACTGGAATTGACTAGGATCTTGGAAAGGGCGACTCATTTTGATGCTGCTGAAATACATTCAGGCAAATTCTCCATTTCCAACGAAAATTCACCTTTTCCACCTCTGACCTTGGCCAGGACCCCGACTTTGCCCCCTAGAACTCATCCTCATCCGAAAACCCTAACCCCAGCTCCAGCCTCGGCCCCAGCCTTGACCTCTGACCCTTGACCCACACTCCGATTTAGATTTTTAAAAGTGAATAGAATATGTAGCTGGTGTGGCTCACTGGTTAGAGCACCGGCTTGGCAAACATACACTCACTACTCTCTAGCTAAAAGAGGACTCAAGGAACATATTAGGCAGGGCGGTGGGTCACCTTAAAGGGAGCCTCAATGCAGCAGTCTCCAGGGCCTCCCTTTGCAAAGATGGGGTGGGAAGAGGTGCGGACCCAGGAGCCGTGACTTCGGTCCATCCAGGGACGGAATGATTGCCGCCATGGACAGCCTCGATGATTTTGTGGGTTTTTCTTTCTCTTTCTTTTCTTTTCTTTTCTTTTCTTTTCTTTTCTTTTCTTTTCTTTTCTTTCTTTCTTTCTTTCTCCCTTTCTTTTTCTTTTCTTTCTTCTTTCTTTCTTTCTTCTTTCTTTCTTTTCTTTCTTTCTTTCTTTCTTTCTTTCGTTCTTCTTTCTTTCTTTCTTTCTTTCTTTCTTTCTTTCTTTTTCTTTCTTTCTTCTTTCTTTCTTCTTTCTTTCTTTCCTTTCTTTTCTTCTTTCTTTTTTACTTTTTGTGGGTAGAATTTTTGGTTATGTTCACAGGACCTTAGCTGGAATTTCAGCACCATGGTCAGAGGCACAACGTGTTATTCTTTAAATGGCCACAGGAGGGCAGCATAGGATTATTTTTGCGCAGGAATTGACTGACAGCAGGATGCTTACTTAGTCTTAGCATATTTCTACAGTTTATTTTATCTTTCATTATAAAAGAGACGGGGCTCAAGCAGAACCCTTTGAATTACAAGAACACGTTTTGAATCCACTGTGTTTCAACACAAAACTATTAACAAGAATCTTATGTTCAGAAATAAAATGTGTTTACAACTAATGTACTAGGAGAAAAAAGTACTTAGTAATAATAACCTAACGTCACAGAAGTAACTTGAAAAAATATGAAGCAGTACTGGAATTTACTAAGATCCTGGAAGGGGTGACTCATTTTCATGCTGCTGAAATTCAATCTGACAAAATTCACCTTTTGCAAAGCAAAAGCATCTTATTTTTAAAGTATTTTTAAAAATATATGTTTATTGATTTCGGAGAGGGAGAGAAAGATAGGAACATCCATGACGAGAGAGAATCATGGATTGGCTGCCTCCTGCATGCCCACAACAGAGGATCAAGCCTGCAATCCAGGCATGTTCCCTTGTCCGGAATCGAACCTGGGACACTTCAGTATGCAGTCCGACGCTCTATTCACTGAGCCAAATCAGCTAGGGGAAAATTCATCTTTGGCAAAGCAGATTCAGCATTTCTAAAGCAAATTCATCTTTTCCACTTTAAATTCATCTTTTGCAAAGCAAATTCAACTTTTCAACTTCAAATTCACCATTTCAAAAGAAAATTCATCTTTTGTGAAGCAAATGCACCTGTATGCTGAAGGGTCCAGGGTTTGATTCCAGTCTAGGGCACATGCCTGGGTTGTGGGCTCAATTCCCAGTAGGGGGCGTGCAAGAGGCAGGTGATCAATGTTTCTAACTCTCTATCCCTCTCCCTTCCTCTCTGGAAAAAATCAATAAAATATACTTTTTAAAAAAGGGAATTAATTAGCGGAGATATTTTAAAATTGCTATTTGTCTTTCTCTATAATAGAAGTGTGAGAGATGAAAGGAAATTAGTAAAATGTATATGAAAATAATAAATTTATCAATAAATAAACAGTAACAAAAGGATATAACAACAACAGAGGCATGATATAAAAATGACAAAGACATGCTATGAAAACAACAAAAACATGATATGAAAACAACAAAAACATGATACGAAAACAACAGTGATGCAAACAATGACTGATAAAGTGATTAAACTTATTCTAATATCTCCCTGTACACCACATTAAAAGTGAAAACACTTTCAGAGTGCTTGACTAATTTCCCTTGTGATGAAATACTTAGAACTTTAACGGTAACATCACATGCTCTTCAAACTCGAGAGAAAGCAACATATAACTGACCATGTGCAAAAACGGGTTCAGGTAGGAATATGCCTACTTTGTCTAGAGTTTGTCCATGTGATTTATTAATAGTCATCCCAAATGCTGGCATCACGGGAAACCGTCGTCGAATCAATTTAAATGGGAGGCCAGTGTCAGATGGGGAGAAATTAATTCTTGGAATCAGAACAACCTCTCCCCCTGCAGATCCTGTTAATACTTCAGCTTTGATAATGTTAGGTCGTAATCTTTTGATAATAAATCTGGTACCATTACAAAGACCACATTTACTATTGAGATTTCTCAATAGCATGATGATTGCACCCACTTTCAATTTTAATTTATGACACGACATTCCCGAAGGAGTAATACTATTAAGAAATTCCATGGGAAAATTTTGCTTTTCAGCATCATCTGTGGAATCAATGGAATCATCACTCAAATATGTGTGAAAATCTCAATTGAGCATATCCAAATTTTCTTCATTTAATTTTGAACATGCTCATTTTTTGGACAAAGAATTGCACATTTAGATATATTTTTAATATTATCTATAGCAGTGGTTCTCAACCTTGGCTGCACATTAGAACCATGTGGGAAGCTTTTTAAAATCCCAATTCCTGGGCCTCATCCTCTGGAATTTGTTTCTTTGTTGTGGGGTGGGGCCACAACATCAGTAATAAAGAAACAGAATTAAAACTTTATTGGGGGGAGCTGCTACAGTGTTTTGGACAGGTTCAAGCCTTGGACTGATGAGACAGCACAGTCCTCTCATTGCCACGTGCAAGTACCAGCTTGGAGGGCAGGGCCCTCCCAGCACAATTATAGCCAACAGCTGTAGTTGTAAGCTTGAACCTATGGTCCGAATACGTGGCCCCACGTGCCTGAGTGATGTAGGCTTGATAGAGTTCAGGTCCATGTAGTTGAGTAGGATTGAAACCCAGGAGAATGTTGTAAACATCTTGGTCACGCCCTTACTTTGCCTCGTAGCATCTGCTATAAAATAAAGGCATGGCTGTGGGCGTGGTTGCTGTCTCTCAGAGAAGCAGCGTCCTACCGAGACCCGGCTTTCATTCTCTTGTCTGTCTTTTCTAAGCCTTTCAGCCACCCCCACTCAGGTTCACCCTTGGCCGTGCTGCCGTGGCAGACTTTATAAAGGTATGCCTCCACACTCCCAGGACAGGTTCCTGCCTCAAACCCCGCCCTTACAGGAAACAGCTCGAGGGAGGGTGCAGCCATTGCCAAGACAACCCCTGCAGGACCGACTGCCTTCCACTTGGTCGCCAGATTGGTCGTGATGTTACACCACCCAGGGTTTTTATATAAGTAGATTATTTATTGTACAAAGTGTTACATATATCGCTATTTATCCCCCTTTGACACCCTCCAGCCTGCCCCCACACCAGGCCTTCACCACCCTATTGTCTGTGTCCATGGGATGTATATATATATATATATATATATATATATATATATATATATATAGTCTTTGGTTGGTTACCTGTCACCTACCCACCTTCCAAAAAATTTACTCTAAGATTCTGCTTCCTCTGGGTCTTAAAAAAAATTTAAATTAGGGCTGACAAGAAAATAGAGAAAAGATTTTTCATACAGAGCAAAGGTGGAGCACAGACGTGTTGGGGAAAGCCTGGCAAATTCAGGGTAGTGCAGTAGTCAGCTGTGGCTGGAACCCTGGAAAACTCCTAGTGTATGGAAGAGAGGAGAGAAGGAACAGCTGGAGGCTGAGGAGAACAAGGAGATCCATTTCTGTAAATGAGCAGATCCAGCCCTGTCACTTGCAAGCAGTATGACCTGGGAAAGAATTCTTTTTGACCCAATAAGTTTATTTCTAGACGAATATACTACCAATAACACACTCATACATACACAAAGATTTTTGCTAAAGTATCATGTAATCCAAAAATATAGAAAACAAATACCCAACAAAATATGGTTCTTCCATACAATAGAATACTATGAAATCATTTTTTAAAATGAGGTTGATTTACATACATTAATATAAAACATCTCCTACATGCATTAAGTGAAAAATGCCAGGTGTAGATCCATGTGTATAGTGCAGTATGGTTTGTTTCTAAGAAAGGAGATATACATATGTAACAAGGTGTCTTTCACCAGTGTTCCCCAAATATCTCTGGGGAAAATCTAAAGCTAGTGTGGTCCAGTGCCAATTACGTCAAACCCTGGGGTAAAGGTGCTGCCCTTCCATATAGCTCTGCCTTGACAGATTCCAAACCACCCCCACATCTTCAGCTCTATGAGGCTTACAAGGGTCTCTTGAGCTTTGCAAAGTTGGTTAGCCAAATGACAGCTCCGGGTTTAGGCAAATGACACTGGATGACAACAATGACCTTATCATACACTATAAATGAAACTCATTCTAAAGTCTTCTACAACAATGGTGCTAGTCAGCATCTCAATGCTGTCTTATCCATGTGGTTTTTCCTCCTGGACTGGGCTCCTTTTCATGAGCTCTACCAACTGCCTCTGCTTTATACCTTCTTTTTTTTTTCGTTCTCTTCCTACTCTAGGTGGCACTTAATCTACTCTTTGGAAGATTGACGCACTCTGGATCTTCATCTTTTCTCTTCCATATCTATTTTTATGGATAATCCCTTTTGCCCCCTTCAATCATATATCTGGCTTATCAGTCAAGGCCAACCTTTTCATCAACATTTGGCATTCAGCACATGTATTCTCTATTCTGCTTTTAATAAATCTTTCAAAACTTATGTGGGAATTTATTGCTTACCTATCTCCAATTCCCAATATTACCCTGATTTTCATTCCGGTATCCTTCCTTTCCTATGTAACCCATAAGGTGACCACACCTATAGATCCAGGAGTAAGCCATACTATTTCCATGGGCAGCAACATTTTTTAATGAGGCTGGGCATGTGACCAAAGCTATTCCAATTCGGCTGAACTTCAGGATTGTTTGCAATGCAAGACAAATGTTCTTTCTTTACTGGTGGACTAGGAAATACATAACCTAACTTAGGGGCTTTGGCAGACCTTATTTGAGAGAAACCAGCTTGAAGAGGATAATGACCCATAAAGAATTAAGAGGAAAGAAGCTGTAGTCCCATTACAGCCACACAGGAAACCCATCCTCCTGCTGCACTTTTATTAGATGCCAGTAAATCTCTATTTCTTTTAAACAGTCTGTTAAATGCAACCAGAATGAAGCAATATACCTATATGTACAAAGAATTCATGGGCAGATATAGAAGACACAAAAAAGAGATGTCTTTGGGGAGGAGGATCAGGGACTTGAGTGAAAGGCATTTTACTGACTCTCCTGTAGTTCAATATTTTAAAAACTATGTGAATATATTAATTATTACATTAAACATAAAGGATAAATTGCTAAGATCTCAAAAAACAGCTTCTCCTTGGAACTACTAACATAGTAGATAGATACAGTAACACCATAAAGCCTTTTAATACTACTTGGTTATATAAAATTGTTGTTCAAAGTCCTGTAGAACAAAAGTCTCTATTTGTCATCTCTCCCTTTTGTCTTTCTGTACACCATCTCTCGAAAACTGGCCAAAATGTTATTCTCTCTCTTCCGTCTCTCTTCTTGGTTGAAGGATGCAAGGGCTCTCTTTTCATCCGCACTATAGATCTGGTTCTCTTTCCGCAGCCGTACAGCCTCCATTCTGCGATGCCTGCTACCACTCATAACATAACCTGAGCACTCAAAGGAAGCAATCTCTTCACTTGTCAACCCAATTTCACCTCTTCGTGGGATACGCTTTCCAGCTTTTACATACTCGGCCATAGCTGCACCTTCCCCTGGGAGCAGAGCGTGGCCATAGTTCAAAGGTTTCTCTTCTTGAGAAGTGAGTATTATAGGTGCTTCTGGACCGATTAGATCCATGGTATCTGCCATATTGGAGTGATGCATCCGCGTATCTTCTCGAAACTCCCCTTCTGAATCCTTATAGCCAGAGTCAGTGCGGTTTCTGTTAGTCTTCATTTTCCTGTGTTTCCTTCTCTTCTCTTTGTTCTTGGCTCTCCTTTTCCCATCATCAGAGCTGGGATTCGTGTCCGAGTCTGAAGCACTGTCACTATTATATTTCTTGGATTTCCTTTTGGACTTTTTCTTTCTTCTTTTCTTGTTTTTTGAACGACTGGTCTTTTTCCTCTTTTCTTCAGAGATAGAATCTGAACTGTTGGTCTTCTGAGTGTTTACCTCTTCATTGTCAAACGGGGTGTGTTCATCAGAATCCGGCTCGGGGTACTTGGGGGACAGCCCCCACACCTCCGGGGCTCCCGCCGCCCCGATCCTCTCCCTCCCTCTCAGCCTCCTCTGCCGGGCGCTCTCCTCCTTCTCTTTCTCCTTCTCCTCCTCCCTCTGCAGCTCGCAGCCACTCGCCCACCGCTGGCCGCTGCCGCTCGCATAGTGGTGGGGATGGTGGCGGTGCCCGTCTCCGTAGGTGGAGGGAGAGGACGGGAAGGCGCAGTTGGGGAGCCCGGGGGGCAGCTGTCGGCATCCGGGGCCGCCGCGGAGGGGAGGGGTGCCCGCCGGACCCCACGAGGGCCTGAGGGCCTCCCCGCTGCGGCTGCCGGAGCGTCTGCTCCTGGAGGGGCTGCGTCGCCGTCCCCGGGCGCCAGCGGTGCCCTCCGACGAGCTGGACGGCGACACAAGCGCCATCAGCCGCGCCGTCCGCGTAACCGACTGGTCAACGCAGACCCTCCGCGCGGGAAATATGGCGGCTCCGTGCTCGGCTGCGCACGCGCATCACCGTCCGTCCCGCGTTGCTTCCGCTTCCGTCGGTCGCCAGGCGAAGCCCCAACCCGCGCACCGGGGCGAGAGGCGCTGGTCTGGGCCGAGGCGTCGGGAGGGTTGTGTCCCGAGAGGTAAAGGGCAGGGAGGGCCCGCGTTCGGGGTTGATGGTCCCCGACCGGAGCGGAGCCCGTGGGGACGAAAGGAGAGGAGTTGGCACCACCGCGCCCTCCGCTGCCACACGCCCTCCAAGACGCCGGCCTTTCCCTCCATGTCCTGCCTCCGCCTCCCTCTCTCGGCCCGGATCTCAGCCCTGGACCGAGGGCCTCCCGCCCAGCTCCTCTGCCTCAGCCCCGAGAGCAGCCCGCCGTCCGTCCCGGGAAAGCACGTTCATTGCAGACGCCCAGCTCCGAGGTTCCCCCTGGAAGAAAACTTCTTTTGGAATCAAAGTTTGAGCTCAGCCTCTTTGCCAAGTGAAGGTCAAAGTCATGATTTTTTTTATTCTTAAATTCTTTTCTACCATGAAACAAGGAAGTATTCAGCTCAGTCTTGTGTATGTCTCATTATCTAGTTAATTTTTTTTAAAAAAGTGTTGTTTTGGGACCACTTTCCCCACACGCTTTGTTCACTCTCTGCAATGACAAACATTTCATACAAGAGCATGTTTCCGGGCGTTGAAATGCACACAGATTACTGTGCTCTTGATTCTCTACAGTTAATGTTATCTACTTGGTTAGTTGACAGACTTGGAACGTGATGGGAAAGCTGTCAGAACATAGGAATGGTACTTTTCCACTTAAAACGTTATCAGCCTTGCATTCCATGGGGTGGAAATGGGACGTACTGATAACTCAGTCCAGCAAAATAACTGCAGCCACGTCTGGCTTACAATCTAGTCCCATCTAGTTCAAAGGAATCTCAGAGCTTCCTTCCATTTTAGGGGAAGCCAAGCTTATAAACCAGGCACTGTTCTAAGCACTTTTCATTAACATACACACACAAACACACACACCCCTCACTTAAGGCCCTGGCCAGTGTGACTCAGTGGTTAGAACACACCATGCACAAAAAGGGTCTCGGATTCAATCCCCAATCAGGAGCAGGTACCTGGCAAATGGGACTGCATTAAAATAAAAAACCTTCTGCACAGCAAAAGAAACCATCCCAACAAAACAACAAGAAAGCCCACTGTATGGGAGAACATATTTGACAATGTTATCTCTGTTAAGGGCTTCATCTTCAAAATTTACAGGGAACTCATACAACTTAACAAAACAAAAATAAACAATACAATTTTTTTAAAAAATGGACAAAGGACCTAAATAGACACTTTTCAAAAGAGGACATACAGAAGGCCAAGAGACCTATGAAAACATACTCAAAGTCACTAATGATCCCAGAGATGCTAATCAAAACAACAATGACGTACCATCTCACACTTGTAAGATGGTTATCATCAAAAAAAATCAACAGGGAGAAAAGGGAACCCTCGTACACGGCAGGTGGGAATGCAGACTGGTGCAGCTACTATGGAGAGCAGTATGGAATTTCCTCAAAAAGTTAAAAGCAGAACTCCCATTTTACCCAGTAATCCCACTTCTAGGACTATATCCCAAGAAACCAGAAACACCAGTCAGAAAGAATATATGCATCCCTATGTTCATAGCAGCACAGTTTACAATAGCTAAGATTTGGAAACAGCCTCAGTGCCCATCACCAGATGAGTGGATTAGAAAACTATGGAACATCTACACAATGGAATACAACACTGCTGTAAAAAAAAAAAGAGGGAACTATTACCATTTGCAACAGCATGGATGGGCCTGGAGACCATTATGCAAAGTGAAATAAGCCAGTCAGAGAAAGATAAATATCACATGATCTCACTCAGTTGTGGAATATAATGAACAACATAAGCTGATGAAAAAAAATGGAGCCAGAGGGAAAAATACGTATGTGTGTGTGTGTGTGTGTGTGTGTGTGTGTATATATATATATATATATATATATATATATATATATATATATAGATCTACATTTAAAAAATATATTTTTATTGATTTAAGAGAGAAAGGGAGAGGGGGAGAGAGAAACATCAATGATGAGAGAGAACCATCGATCGGCTAACTTCTGCACGACTCCCCACTGGGCCCTAGCCAGCAGTCAGATATCCCTCTCACAGTCTGGGGCTATCACAGTCCACGACCCCTCGCTCCTTACCGCCTGCCTGCAGCAGAGGCAGGAGAGGCTTCCACCACCGTTGCTGTGCTCACCAGCCGTGAACCCAACTTCTGCCTCAGTGGTGCTCCCCCTGTGGGAGCGCACTGCCCATCAGGGGGCAGCTCCTGCATTGACCATCTGCCCCCTGGTGGTCAGTGTATATCATAGCGACTGGTTGTTCCGCTGTTTGGTTGATTTGCACATTAGGCTTTTATTATATAGAACTAGAGGCCTGATGCATGAAATTCGTGCAAGGGGCTTGGATCTCACAGCCCCGGATTCGTCTAGAAGGTCGTCCGGACAGTCATCTGAAAGGTCGTCTGGACAGTTGTTCTGCTGTTCAGTCTAATTAGCATATTATCTCTTATATAGGATTACTATTCCCATTTACTATAGATTGAGAAAATCAGAAAGAAAGAGAGTAACTAATTTACCAAGATCATCCAACCGGAATGTATTAAAAGCAGGTGTTTGAGCAGAGGTAACTTGGTGGGAGAGACTTTGGAAATAACCACAATGCTAAACTGTAAATGAGCTCTAAAAAGAACCCAGAAGAAAGGAAGCAGAAGAGAATAGGTCCTTGAGGTCGGGGAGTAGACTGTTTCTGGAAGTGGAAAGCCTTTAAGTCTGTTGCCTGTGAGGAGTCATGGAGAGTGGTTGTGTGTGTGTGTGTGTGTGTGTGTGTGTGTGTGTGTGTGTGTGTAGTTACTGTGGAAGGAGCAATCTCAATGGCTTTGCTGTCTACAATGTGTTCATGATGAGAAGAAAGTGAGGGTGAGGACTAAGGTCAGAGATGAGTGCTTCTTTTCAAGTAGTTTGGCCTTGAAGGGGAGGAAAGAGAATGGCCACTGAGGGGACAGGGAGGAGGGACTGCCTCTATTCTCCATAAGCCATTGCCTGGCGAAGTTTCTCAGGTCCTCCTGCCCAGAGCTCCAAGGACATTCTGCTTTCTACTTCTAAATTGCTGACAATTTAATGTCACCTCCTGAGTCAACCTTGTCTCTGAGCACTTACGTCCCTGCGGAATCTGTACAGAGTATTTCTCATGACACAGAGCCTGTCATTCTTTCTCTTCCCCTACTTTGTCCCCAGAGTGGAAGTTAAGGACATGGTTGCTAAAGGAAAAGCCACCGAGAGGTGCTCCCTGGAGAGCCCGGGGAGGCGATTCCCACTCGGGCCTCCCTCAGTTTCCCACCGTCTTCAGCAGCGCATCCTTGGGATTCCACATGGCTTCCTGGAGAAACCCCTGCAGCTGTGCCCAGGGGTGTCCTTACTATTGGACGGGCTGACAGTAACCTCCCCCTTCCAGGGATCTTCTGTGGAACAACTCCAGGTGCAGGGAGGTCCTTGTGCAGCCTGAGAAAGTGGGGGTGGGGGAGAGCGGTGCTCTGGACGCGCCACGTGAGCCTTGGGGATTCTGGCGGTGAAGGTGGAGGAGGAGGACTACCTGGCTCTGGAGCAGTTCCGTCAGCGCCTTTGTGGCTTCCTCAAACCGGAGACCGAACCTCCCCCCCCCCCCCCAAACCAGCTCCGCGAGCTCTGCCAGCTGTGGCTACGGCCCCAGGTGCACAGCAAGGAGCAGATGCTAGAAATAGACTTGTACTCCTGCAACACCTCCCACTTGCTGTAATGATGGAAATATGTCTGATGCTAACAGCAACCTTACAACAGCGACAATTTAAAGTTTCTCACCACCCTGGCACGTACCTTGCCGTGAATGCCAAACATTAGGACCTTTTTCTTTTATACTCTTACAAATTACAAAATATATACACACTTAGGATTGGTGTAAAAGCTTGGCATAGCTAATTTTTCTACTTACAATGCTAATATTTTATACATTAATATACATTAAATATATGTAGGCCATAGTTTCTCAATGGGATTTTTAAAAAATATATTTTTGTTGATTTCAGAGAGGAAGAGAGAGAAACATCAATGATGAGAGGGAATCATTGATTGGCGGCCTCCTGCACATCTGACCGAGCCCACAACCCAGGCATGTGCCCTTGACCAGAATCAAACCCGGGACCCTTCAGTCTGCAGGCTGACGCTCTACCCACTGAGCCAAACCAGCTAGAGCTCAATGGGATTTTTGTGTCCTGTGCACACAAGATATTTAGCTGCATCTCCATCCTCTACCCATTAGACACCAGATGCATTCCAGCCGTCCACAAACAATGTCTCTGAAAATGCCCAATTTCTCCAGTTGAGAACCAATGACTGACACGACCGAAAAGCGTGTTATCAAGCATTTTTGCAAAAACACAGTGATCTTTAATGTTTGATATTTTCTTTCTTGATAAAGAAATAAGTCTTCCAAACAAATGGGGGGTTTATATTTCAACTTTTCACATATGCTTCTTAAAATTGGAATTTTTGGCTTTAGTCTTGAGTATAGGTAATTAATGATGGACTATGGAAATAGGTCTGTTCCCAAAGTAATAAGAAGAGATATACATCCTTGAAGACAGTGTAAAAATTTCTTTAGGTAATACAATAAATTACACACACAATTAGACAAGCATTTATTAAATGCCTACTGTGTGCTCAGCACCATATTAGGCAATAGGGGTGCAGAAATACAAATGTAACATTACTATTCCTGCCCTCAAGGAGCTTACAATTTAATTTTGGAAATAAATACAAATGTGAAACTACAATACAGAGTGCTGAAAAATGATTACAAACCTACCTATTATTAGTAAGTGCATGGGCCACAGTATAAACTGAAAAGATCAGTGCTGAGGCAGCACTGAATAGGGAGTCTTAGTGTGGGTGAAGTCAGTCAGGGAGGGCTCACTCAGAAGATATAAAGGAAACCAGACTTTGAAGGGGGTTATGAACATGAGCTGGGGCCAAAGAGCAATCTAAGGAAAGGGAACAGCATCAGAAAGGCACAGAGGCACGGTCAAGGGCCTGTAAGACAACAGTGAAGGTCACAGGAAGTGTGACTGTGATGCTGTAAGGGGACATGTTGGAGAAGGAGGCTGCTACAGACAGAGCATAGAAGGCAGGTAATGGCGAACTTGGAACATGACTGCTTTGATGAGAATTATGTGCTGGGTGTTCTTGAGTGAAAATAAGAAAATGAAAATGAATCATCTTGGATGCCTACAAGATGCAGATCTTGCCGAAACCGGTTTGGCTCAGTGGATAGAGCGTTGGCTTGCAGACTGAAAGGTCCCAGGTTCGATTACGGTCAAGGGCATGTACCTGGGTTGCGGGCACATCCCCGGTAGGAGATGTGCAGGAGGCAGCTGATCGATGTTTCTCTCTCATCGATGTTTCTAACTCTCTATCTCTCTCCCTTTCTCTCTGTAAAAAATCAATAAAATATATTAAAAAAAAAAAGATGCAGATCTTGAAGAGCAGGGACACTAGAAAGAAAGAATTGCAATAAACTGGGCCCCAGATAATACAGATCTGAAAAAACTCCTATGAGAAAATGTCAGAAATTGAAGGTTTTACACATTTTATGCTGTAGATGAACTTATTAATGTCACCATAAATGTCCATCTGTAATTGTGCAGCCTCAGGAGAAAAGTTAGAACTGGAACAACTTAACAAGATTTTGGACATGTAGAATGGAGACCAGAACAAGACACCTACAAGACTGTGATAAGAAACATAGCCCTAGCCGGTTTGGATCAGTAAATAGAGCATCAGCCCACAGATTGAGGGCTGCTGGGTTTGATTTCGGTCAAAGGCACATGCCTTGGTTGCAGGCTCAATCCTCGGGGTTCATGTGCAAGGCGACCAATTGATCTGTTTCTTTCACACTGATGTTTTTCTCTCTCTGTCTCTCCTCCTCCCTGCCACACTCTATAAAAATCAATGGAAAAATATCCTTAGGTGAGGATTAATAGAAAAAAAGAAAACAAAGGATAGTGAGTCTAATCAGGATAAAGAAATTAAGTAATGGTGCCTATATAAAAGGAAAATGGTATTTGGGGGACAAAGAGTGATGAGTTCTGTTTTCAAAGATCAAGTTGTGTTGGGAGACAGTGGGAGATATGGTTACTGACAATCAAAATGGATAAACTAGAGTGAGGACAGAAAAGCT